CAGTCAAACCGACAGTAATGGGAAAGTGTTTGCCGTCAGGACAGGTTGTGAGATTGGGACGGACACGGACTCCTGTTGGGACCAAACAACGCTGCAGGATTCCATTACACACTTGGCATCTGGCCAACGCAGCCCATTTATTTGTAATCTAACACACACACACACACACACACGCCGGGCATATCATCTGCAGACAGATATCTGTGTGCATCTCAACATCAGATTCTCATTTCCATCGAGATCCAGAACTTTTTTTCCGAGGAGGTCAAGTCAAAAAGAAGAAACTGAAATAAAAAAACTTTTTCTCTGACCCCAGGTCACCACCAGGTGGAGAAAACAAGAACTTCAACCGTTCCATCAGGTTTTCATTCAACTGTTAAAATTCACAGATTAAAGCTGTGTCCTAATGGGGGGGGGCATTCACGACAGCAGTCAGGGTGACCCTGGTGTTCGGGTCAGTTCGGGGGCAGATCTGCACTGAGGGCATCAGAGTTAAAGCCCCGGTGCCACCAGTAACACACGTCGCTCCAACACCAGAGAAAATCTCTTTTTTGTCCCAAAAATCCTTCATTCTTTTTCCTCACACCAAGAATCTGCTCTGAGAAAATATTTGAAGAAGGAAAAAAAAACAACCTCCAAATAAACGCCGGGGTAATTGTGGACAAACGCAGCATTGAAATTCATTCTCAACTCTTTACACACCATTTCAATCTTATTTTCTGCCTGTTAACCACATCTTGTTGGTGGGGGGGGGGGGCGGGGGGGGCACCACTGGGCAGTAGTGATGGGTAATTGTACTTAATTGACTCGCGCTTCAAAACAAATGTTTGTGTTTTTTGCTGGAATCTCCTTCGACGGTTATAACATGGAAACCAGGGACAGCGTGACCTCAGGTTTGACCCTGAAGGTCAATGTGAAGGACCAGGGACACACGTCTGATTCTAGAGCCAACCAACAGCAGCTCAGCCTGGTGGGGGCAGCAGAGACGTCTCCACGTCTCCACGCCTCCGTCCTGTGGAGGAGATTAACGCTCTACATTTTCTAAGCTTCAGTTAATTATTTCATCTGCATGTGTTCTGGCTGCGCCGCGCAGGATTTAGACGTCCCAGGAAAGAGGGAGCGGCCGTTTGGAGCGGCTCGAACACTTGTGCTGATATCAAGATGAATTTTAATTTGTTGATGTTAATCCAATTGTTTTACAAATGTAGCAATTTGGAATCGCTGGAGTAAATCCGGGGCTTTGGACGGAGGATATAAAAGCCGACATCGGCGGTTGGTTTCCAGAACACGCTGCGTCTGAATTTTAATTTCATTCCACTACAATTACATTTTCTCAACAGCGTAGGGCGGCGGCGGCGGCGGCGGGGGTGCTGAGGGGCGGGGACCGCAGACGGTTCAGGGAGACTGACCTGTGGAGAAAGGCCGTTGCCAACGGGGTTCATGTGGTTGCCGGACGCCGAGGGACTCATGAAGGTGTCGGAGTAGCTGGAGAAGCTGTGGCGGTTTGAAGACAGGCCGTAGGCGGAGCTGCTGTCGGCGCTCAGACCGCCCTGGTGCATGGAGGACGGAGGAAGAGGCTGCGGTCGGTGCAGCGTGCTGGTTCCCTCTGACGGAGAAACAAAGACAGAGGTGAGACGGAGACGGAGACGCCAGCACGGGCTCCGTTAGCCTGTTAGCATCAACATCAGATACTGATCGGCCGCAGCTGGGTCACAGGCCTGCGTGCAGGACAGTTACCCTGGGACAGCGTGGCGCTGGGGTAGCTGGACTCCGGCAGCTGGTACGTGGGCAGAGTCGGCATGCCGGTGGGCGGGAAACCTCCAGGGAGCAGGTGGTTGAAAGCCGCTAGCTGATTGGCTCCCGCCTGTTTACGCCACCGAGCTCGCCTGTTACTGAACCACACCTGTGAAAAAACAAACAAACGATTTCATTGCCCTGCCGCTAGTTGATCAATAATCCAATCATGTTCAGGGTGAGAGGAGGGGGAGGAGCCAATCACAGACCACAGAGACCACTCGGGGGGGGTGGGGGGGGGGCAGCCACTGAGGCTCTCTGGTCTGGTCTTGTCATCCTTAAGTGGCTGAAGCTGTGGTGCGGCAGTCAACATGCTGCCCTAAGCCTCCTTCACAGGTAAGAGGTCACGTAAAGGTCAAGTGTTTGTGACATCACAGACGAGTCAGGACGCGGCGAAAAGTTTACAAAACCAGCAGCACAGACACACAATGTCACCTCCCTGAATG